CAAGTTTCAGTTGTGAGAAAAAGATGATGTTTTGTCGGAGAAATTGTTTTTTAATAAAAAATGAACTATTAGTTAAAAGATGAGTATGAGTGTAAGTTTTCATTAAGACAAAGGTAATGACATAATGGTCAGAAACTCATGTCGCGAGAACGTCCATAAATCTTTGACAAATTTCTTTCATTGGCTTTGTGGGAGTTTTCAAAGTACACTTTGGCTATTATGCTTCAACAAAGTCATGGATTATGGACCTATTCATGATATAAGTGCCATGCATTTCTTAAACGTATGAAAAATATGCATTTCGGCTTATTAGTTTGCATTGAAATTTTTTAAATAGTCAAATGTTTTATGTGGCCTACTGACTTTATTTTAACTCAAATAAGTTTTGGGGACATTTGTCCAGTTTAAATAGCTTAGTCTGGGGTTTGGACATAAAATGCATGTATTGTGTATTTATTGGATATTACATGTTTTGAGTGACTTTATCATTTAGTTGGAGTCATGTAATTTAGACTGTAATGTAGTGGATCCGTAATTATAGGAGTTTGTAGTGTTGTTAAACATGGAGTTTTGATGTCCACACTTAAGTCTAGTGAGTGGTTATCAAGTCATCGTTAAGAGCTTCCAGTGGTACTCTATTGGGTCGTATACGAAGCTAGTAGCTTTTGGTGGTACTATATTGAGTCATATATGGAGCTAGGTCTTGCAATGGTGCTCGTTGGAGCCGTATACGGGGACCATTGCTTTTATGGTGAAACTCGTCTAGAGGTCAAATAGATACTACGGTCATTATGGGAATCTTGTGGTGGTACTCAATGGAGTGGTATACGGGGATCCGTGGCGTCAGTTGAAACTTGAGAACATTGATAAGTGGCTTGCTTTTGTATTCTTGCCACATTTGATGGAACCGGGTCTCTCCCGTCACCTAAAAGTGTTGTTTTCGGGCACTTCATGACCTATGCTTTTCAGTGTTTTGAATATAGAGTTTTATCTATATTTTTTAATGTTTTTGTTGCATGTGTTGTGCGCACATTTTTGGTGAATTTGGATATTAGTTCTCAATCTAAACGGGTATTTAATTTGGAAATAACAAGATTTGAAAATATGTTCCATTTATGACTTGTGTTATAAATAAAAGGGTCATTTTTAAAGGAAAATATTCGATTTAACCGTTTTATGTTTACATGATAAAACCTACTTTAACTAATTAGGAGTTAAGTTTAACATTTTTTCTTGTTGATATGTATATCATGTCTTAATGGAATCTAACTGACATTTGGAGCTCTGTAGAAGTTCCGATAGGATGACTTTACCGGTGTCATCCAGTTTTAAAAGATAGCAGACCTGTCGGTTTCAATAACCCAACCCCCATATATTGCAACTCTATTAAGGGTTATGTTGTCTCGTTTAGAACTCTGATGCGTTTTTGTTCTCCTTCTTATGTAAACTATAAGCATTTTGCATTTAAAGTGGTTTTTATTTTGAATGAATTTTGAAGTTGTAAATTGTTTTCTAGTTTATATTTTAGGGGAATTACATTATTAGTAGTATAATAATAATAATGAATAATCAAAACAATAGAAAAACCATGTCAAACATCATGTATATAACATAAATCAACACATCAACAATATTTAACTGGTTATCATTTATATAACCTCTGTGGCTACAAGCGCTTTGGCAATGTCTGGATTCGAATCAGCGATAGATGAAAAATTCCACTACATCCCCTGAAGTTTAACCAGTGAATAACAACTCAAGTGATAAAGCGTGCAACTTGAGGAAAAGTGTTAGGCACCTTTTATAGATAGTATGCAACTTGAAACCGAAAAAATAAATAAAAAGTACATTGATCTTGATAAAAAGCGTATAGATCGTTTTCTATTCATCCAAGATCAATCTTGAAAAAAAGGCAACTTTTTTTTTATATTGTGGAATTTTTTCGGGTAAAGAAAGCAAGACGTAATCTTACACTATTTATTAAAAGACGTTTAAAATAATCTTAATTTGTTGATATCATTTGTAGTGGTGTCTGAAAATATAAAATAGTGCTTACTAGAAATGCATTTACTATTTATATAAAAAAATATATCAACTATTTTGTAACTCGATAATTTTTGTAGTTAGGAAGAGAATAGCAAACAAAAAAAGTAATTATTTGAACATAACAAAAAAAGTAATTATTTGAACATAACAAAAAATATTTATACGTTTGTACGAAATAAATGATTATGTTATATATTGAACATTATTTTAAACGAAGTCCGAACGTTATTCTGTTAGAATTTCCGTGATATCATTATCACCCAATTTTTTTTCGAGAAACTATAAGTAACTTTGAAAGTGACAATTATAAATTAAAGGTTGGATATATATCAGAAAATTACTTTTTCATTCTATAAAACAATATTTTTTATTTATTAAAAAGTTTTGTCTAAATAGTAAACCAAATGTCATCCTGAAACACGGTTAGTCTCGCACGCCTAGACTTTACCTTTGTCTAACTCCGAAGTCACTGCTCTCGTCTTCTCGAGATATATAAAAGAAACCAACTAAAATCTATGTAAGTTTTATAATTTGATGCACATATATAAACATAACACTTTTTTTTTAACCTGAGTATCCAATCCGCTATGTGAGCCGACTAATCTTAGGACGAGCACTTGCTTTGCAGATATCCTGGAGTCATCGCATTTGAACCTTCGTGACCACAAGAGTATTTTTATTTCTTCTTGGAGATAACACTTTATTAGCATGACATAATGCCTAGTGGTAAAAGCTTGGGCATGACATAGTCATGAACCCGAGTTCGAGCCCTGGGATGGAAGTGTTGACGACATTTAAGTGGGGCCATGTTTAACCTCCAAATTTGACGGGGATTGGTCGGGCTTTGGCCCGGACACCCTTAAAAAAAAAAAAACATATAACTCCGTTTTAATAATAACATGCACACAAAATAAAAAAACCTTTCCTTTTTTAAACATGTAGATCTCATAGAAATATTGGGCTTTTAAAGTTTACCGTGATTGAAAGCCCAATTCATGAGACAGCATGGCTTTGAAAAATGGTACGAGAGTTGGGCTTTAGCAAACCCTAAATCGAAGCTTCTGGAGTCTCGAGTCGACACACCCACATTTACAGACGAGATATATATCAATCGCAGAATGGCTTTAGCTTATAAACCCTAATTCGTATTCCAGCTTTCTCACAACTTCAGCTGTTGCGTTGATTTCTTGTTAATTGCTTGTCATTTGATTCAAATCACCATGAACAAACCGTTCTCATGGACAACCAGAATCTCCAATTTTCTTTGATTGACTGGTTTCCTGAATGCGATTTAAAGTTTGGTTTGTCATTGATTTTTATATTTTGTTCGATTTATCGTTTCATCAAATCGAGTCGTCCATCTCCTTCTTTTGATTAATTAATTTATTTGTGTCTATTTTATTTGCTTTTTTTTTTTTGGATTAGACGGTAGATTGGGTTAATTAGATAATAGTGTTTTTATATGTAAAGAGTTTGCTGCAAATGACGATGAATCAGACAGGGACATCTGCATTCCATTGGAGTATGATGATTTGTCTGTGGGAATCTCTCCGATGCTAATATCACTTTTTCAACCATTGTTTTCAGCTTATCTATACTGTCTTACAAATCAGATTTAAAAAAAAGTTTTAAAAACAACCTTAAATGCATAATGTATTAAAAGTCTTAAAATGGTTTCCTTATCATTCCTACTAGATGTTCTTCCTGAGATTGGTTTATAAATTCATCTTCCCAAGACGATGATTCAAGCTTCTTATACCATGATTTGCGATTCAAGATCAAATAATTCGGTTAGGGTTCACTTGTATTCCTTCATTCTTTTCCTTATTCAATTTTCTATCGCCCTTCCGTCCCTCTCAGATAAGTTTTTGTCGATTTTCCAGTCTCAATTTTGATATTGAATTTACTGCATCTTGGTTCTGGAATCTTGATTTAGGGTTTATGTTTGTCAACTGTTTTATGGGTGTTTGGGATTGCTTGTTTTAAATAACTTATGCTTTTTTATTAAAGTCCTTGTCAACTTATAATAAACTAGAATGATTTAACTTTTTCAAAAACTCTTGGTTACCGGGTTGGCACCGGTATAAGCTGTTTATTTAAACAGTTAAAAGTGTCAATAAATTGTTTTTATGGCCTGTGATGCATAGAACTTGATATGATACATGATGATTATATCTGAAGAAAAATGAATCATCGCAGCTGAGGCCAATTCAGATCGTCTCATTCAATTTCTCCTTTAACTTCACCGTGCATATTTAAGTTGATTAACAAGCTGTTTAGCTAATTAGGTTTGGTAAAAACTGGTTGAAAATTGTTGACATTTTATAATACATAAAAAGATTTTGTTAATATAACACTAGTTATGTATCCATGCAATGCAATGGGATGTAAAAATTTAATTTATTTAATGTAGATATCTCAAATACTTTCAAGATGTGTGCTATCTATGTTAGGTTTCCATCAAAAAGAAATGGCGGTGCTGTTAAAAACGAATAATTTATGTGAAAAAATTGTAAAAGTGTTCAACAGATTCTCAAAAATGAAGAAAACATTTAATATAAGAATATGTCAAATTTTGATGATAAATATGGATCATCCGGGACTAACAAAGGCTTCAGGCCGTTGTTGCAGTTTACCGACGAAGATATGAAACAGGTCCCAAATATATATATCTATACTACTTTATAAAGTAAATTTACCCAAAGTCTTAAAAACATCTTAACATGCATAAGGTACTATCTTTTAATGCAGAAAGTCTTAAAGTCTTAAAAATGTACAACTTTTTTAAACATAAGGTACTACCTTTTAATGCAGAAACACCTTCACACATCAGGCTGCCTCTAAACCCTAAACCACTCCAAACGACTATCCTCTTCTCAACACAACTCTGCCCAACTCTCCTCTTCCCAACACAACTCTGCCTCTAAACCCTAAACCACTCGCACGCTCTCCACAAAACTTGTCAATGCTTTCACTCACTCTCCTTCCCAAGAATGGTTGCACGTTTCCTCCTATCACTCAACTTTCTCCTTCCCAAGATTGGCTGCACATTCCCCCGTCACTTCCACCTGTGGATTTGTATTTTCAAGATTGTTTTATCCCGCTCAATACACGTTTTCGGCTTCCAATTGATTCAATTGACTGATTTCAAAATTTGAAATCGTCCATTTCTCTCCGTTCATGATGCTGACTACTGTTGGATTCAAAAGAAATCCCTAATATGGTGATTCCTTCTTTTCTTGTCTGCTATTCACCTATTTGGAAATCTTCTTGTCTCGCTGACTATTGTTTTATCCCGCTCTATGCTTTGACATGCAGGCCTTCCCCCACACCAAGAGCTCGGGATGCCTTCTCTTTCACCTACAATGACAGAGGTCTGTGTTATTCTAAGTTTCAGGTAGCTTAATATGGTTCTTCATATTGCTCTGTTACCTGAATTTTTTGCTTGGTTCCTTATCCAGGGAAACATAGCACGGTGGTTAAAGAAAGAAGGGGATCAAGTTGCACCTGGTGAAGCACTCTGTGAAGTTGAAACAGTATGTCTCCTTTGTCTTCCATTTTGGGTTTGCTGCTAATCATGGTTTTCTGGAGAAGAATTTTGTGTGGTCCTGCAAGACTAACTACCAGCATGTGCATCAATTTATTATAGGATAAAGCCACTGTGGAAATGGAATGTATGGAGGAAGGATATCTAGCAAAGATAATACATGGAGATGGAGCAAAAGAAATTAAAGTTGGTGAGGTATGATCTTGATATGATTCTAGAACCACATTTCTTATATTATATGTTAGTCTGTTGTTTAAGGATCAGTCAATTATACTTGTAATGAGAGCATATTTGGGCCAAAACCCCTGTTCTCATTTCTTCTCTTCCGTTAAATTCTATTGCATACTGCAGATTGATGTACCAAGTAATTACCTTAAAAGTATGCCGCATAATAAACCATCTGCATGATGGCCTGCTAAATTTTATGAACACAACTTACTGTGATGTCAAGTGTATTTTGAATAGGTATTTCTCGGTATAACTCAACTCTTTGTGGTCTACTGTTGGACTGAAGCTGGATGTTGTTAAGGTTGTAGTTTTACAGAATCACATGGCATCAACAGTTTATAATATTTTAGTTGTTTATTGTTTTGTTTCAACTTCCCCGCCTCACCCTTCCCTCTTCGTGTAGCTTCTGGTGCAAAAGCTCCTTCAGCTGCAGCAAGCAGGACGACTGGTCATGGAGTAAGGAGACAATTGGCGAGGTTAATGAACTAAAAACTCCGATAGTTTCCAGCACCAGAAAGAAGGCCTCGACTACTTGTTACTGAATCTTGATCAGCAGGATAAAGAATATAGTACTGGTAGTTCTTCTGGATGTGGTAAGCTTTAGGAATATCGGGCCAGAAAACTAAACCGAGATTCTGGAGAATCACTAAAGGTATTACACATTCTCCGTAATGCCTTTTTTGTAGACACATACACAAGACTTGCACTTCATTAGCGATAACTTGCCAACAGACTTCTATTAACATTTCATTTTGATGTTTAAGAATTGTTTAGGTAAATGAGAGCGAGAACTCTTGCCCGTAACCGGTTACTCAGTAAGCATTTTGTAAACAGCTACTAAAAGTTCGTTTACTAAATGCTTATCCGGCAAGTGCTTATTGGATAATTGTCCTCATTGGATGTATATGGCAAAAGCTGAGAATCTAACCGGTAAAAACCATGATAAAGATTGAGAGACATACCCGGTAAGTGAGGGTGATGACTCTTGCCCAGTTATGCGCTTATCTAGCTCGTGATATCAATTGATGTGGGATGTTGGTTACAAGCTATAAAATATATTTATGAAGATGATGTTGTTTCTATTGCTAATCTCAGTTGTTGGTTCAGATCTGATGGTTGATGATGGCTCAGGGGTTAAAATTGCCCCAGTGGTGAGATGGGTTTCCACAGCTCTTGGTTCAACTGACTTGCTTGGTTTGCCTTCAAGTTTTGCTTCATTCGATTAATTTTTGTTATTGGTTCCGTCTTTTGCTAAACTGTTTTTTTGTCTCAGTGGCAAATTTGCTGCATGGTTGCTTATATGCTGAAAAGGWTTGGTGGATAGAGATTTTTCAACTGATAAATGTGCTGCAACATCATATAAGATGAAGTCATGGTTTTCAAGCTGCAGGATCTGATGAATTTGCATATTGTTGGTTTGAAGTTAATGGATGTGATTGTTATCATTTTCACTTTAAAAATTGAAATGAGATGTGGGTAATGATTATGGAGCCTTGTATAGTTAAAAACAATATGTATCTACATGAAGTTGTGTTGGAATGGAAGTGCTTGACTTTATGCTATACTATGTTAATAATGGTGTTTGTCATGGATTTTTTTTCGTTCAAATGCATGATCATTGGAATAAATGAGAGCAAGACAGTCAAGAACAACTTGAAATAAAAAATATATATATTATATATATATATATATATATATCTTGCTAGAAAGATGACATCGTTGCTAGAATGATGACATTGTTGAATATATCATGATAGAACCAGGTTTACTAAATGACCCAAAATGTGGTTTTCAATTATCGATCTTTAAACGACAACACCTTTAAGGATCAATATTCTCTCCCAGACATCAATACTCTTCTTAAAAGAATTGGGAATGCACGGATTTACTCCAAGTTCGACCTAAAGTCAGGGTTTCACCAAGTTACAATGGAAGAAAAATCCATCCCGTGGACAGCATTTATAGTTCCAGGAGGGCTCTATGAATGGCTTGTCATGCCATTTGGTCTCAAGAATGCACCTGCAATCTTCCAGAGAAAAATGGACAAATGTTTCAAAGGAACGGAAGATTTTATTGGCGTCTACATTGATGATATTCTTGTCTTTTTTAAAACTGAAGAAGAACATACAAAGCATATGAAGACAATGGTAAAGATTTGCAAGGAGAATGGATTGGTGCTATCACCAACAAAAATGAAGATCGCAGTTCCAGAAATTGAATTTTGTAAAAAGTTTTAGGGTATAATTTGACATGAGTAGACATGGGAATGGGGTGGAGACTTCAATCCCCGTCCCCAATTACTTATCTCTATCCCCGTCCTCATCCCCGTTGGGAATATAATCGCATCCCATCCTCATCCCCAACGGGGAACGGGGATCCCCAACAGGAAACGGGGATATTTTTTTCCTTTTATGTAAGTTATTTTAAGTTATTTTCAATAACCTAAAACTAAAATGAATTTAATTTAATACAAAAAAATCACAACATCATAAAATAACATAAAACCAAAAAAAAATTAAATTCATATGTATCAAAAGATATTGAGTAATATAAAATCATATCGAGTAATATACAAAACTTATCGAGTAATTGTATTTTGACTTGACATCCAAAAAAATTGCATATTAACATTCAAAAAATAACAATTTTAGATTATAAACTAGTATATATATATATATATATATATATATATATAATATCATTAAATTTTATAAGACGTTTTATTTAAACATCCCAAATAAGGATCATGAAAAAACCTAATTTATTTGTCTAATCGTGAGTATGATTTTTGAATTTCAGTTTATTTTTATATTGTAATATAAGACATAGTTTATAATTAGTTTGAATATATTTGAGACATTTAGACTTACATCTTTGAAAAATTGTACTTTATTTTTAGTTGTGAAAATAAAATATATTGTAATTTTTTTAAATTGGTTTGTGTTTCGTTATTTTTAGTTGTGAAAATAAAATATATTGTAATTTTTTTAAATTGATTTGTGTTTCAGGTTCAGGAACGGGAAACCAACGGAAAAAGAAGTGGATTTTAACCCCTAATAGGTTCCTCAATGGGGATCAGTGAAACCATAGGGACCCGAATGGGATCCATGATAAGACCCTCGACGGGGATCAAGACGGTTAGGGGGATGGTTTTGGAGACGAGAATACCAATAACTGATCCGATCCCGACCCGTTGCCATTCTTAATAACATGTGAAAATATGTACCATCATATCTGATCCAGAAGTTAAACCAGAAACGTGTTCATCGTAGATTGATTGTTAATAGTTTGCAGATACAAACTTATTGGAATTCATAGGTATAGGAAGAAGCCCTATCAAATAGAGATTTTTTATTTCGACCATATTTCGATTGTTAATACGATATATAAGGACCGCTACTCCAAAGGGTATTACACCCTTGATCGTGAAATATCGATTGTTTGTTGAACCCTATGAATTGTGTGAAAGTAGGATACTCCAAATTCGGGAGTCAAAAAGTTTTATAAAACGTTCTTGGTGGAAAAAAATGTGAATGAAAGATCCCACATTGGCTCTATCCAAAGAAAACACTAATTGGGTAAACCAAGGTCGGGTGTTTTGCTTATTGCAGTTGCTTCAAATGGCTGATTCGATCAGATTGAAATTGTCTTTGAGAGCTTCAAAGGCTGGTAGTACAGATTAAAGTTAATCCCATCCCATCTACATTTCTACTCACTCTCTCTTTCAGTGTCCCTTGAATATGAAAACTTATAATTAAAATGTAGCTTCTGAAATTGTACCAACAAACACATCACCAAAAAAACCAAACCAACCTATCATATCTCATTCGAAGGGGGTTAAAGATTTGGGCGGACCTTAGCTCTGCAACAAACACATCAAAATTGTAAATTGATGTCTTTATTCTAGGGTGATTGTAGAAGGCTGCTATCAAGCAAAGTCGTGCAAACCTATTCCGTGTGATTTCACCCATGGGTCACTAACTTATGTATTGGGGAAATTCCATGGACAAATGAACCAATTTGGACCATATGCACCTCACTTGGATGTAAATACCAGAGATCACCGAAGTTAAGTTTGGCAATCTGAGACTGCTCAATGCCACTAGGTGAAGCAATAACCTTAACGGCTAGCATACAAAAAATAAAATGAGAAAAACAGAATAGAAAAACATTGAGCAATATAAGGCAAGACTCTGATACCATGCACAAATTTACAAACAAGACTCTGATACCATACCACTAAGAATCCAAATCAGTCGAGAAGAGGCTTTGGATTTTCACTATCGCCTTTAGAGATCTAGTCACAAGACTCTGATACCATGCACAAATTTACAAACAAGCTTTGTCTTGAAAAAAATACAATGCAAAACTAAACAACCCTAAACAACCGTTAAAGAAACAATTCTAATACATGGAAGAAAAGAATGAATCCTCGGCTTGCTGGTAACAAGAAAGCCGAATGTTTATATTCCTTCAATTACCACTTCAAGAAATGCTTCATATGCTCTGCTGCCCTTCAAGTGATACCAAATATGAAGTGCAGTCCCTCGAACATTATAAAATAAACCACAGAAACAGAAACTGATACACTAAGAACTTAGAAATGTCAAGATTGAATGGATGGATGTTAAAAGAGTTTTAACAGATGCTCTCTTTTTGTTGTTGTGGCCAAGTTTACATGTATCAAAAAGTTGACTTCATAAGCAACTTGTAGTTCATGTTATCTCATCTAGTGATGGCCCCGAACCTCCTTTTGGTGTAAGCAACTTAAAAGTTGCTATAGATGTTGTTTATGTTGGATTTGATGATTTGTGCCAACTTCATGCACTTGAATTAACTTTGCAGTTTAACCCCATGTATGAAAAAAGGATGAGAATATATCAAAATGGATGCCAAATTAAAGATAATAAAGTGGTTGTTTTTTGTGTAATTTACTTCGCACAACTTTTCAATTTAAAAAATAGGGAGAAATATTTTTATTTTAATAAAAGATGTTTATAATTGCATTTTTAGCCACACCCATTCAATTATATTAATCAACGGTTTAATGAGTTATTCGGTTCTTCTTCTTCAAAAATTTTCTTTGGATCTTCTCCACCAGTGTATGTGTGTGTGTGTGTATATATATATATATATATATATATATATATATATATGGCATATTGTAAGAGCGAAGTTGGTTAGCGACAATGTGAGAACCAACCAGACTAGTAGAATTGAAAACCAAAGGTGGACGACTCCTATCGGTCATTTAAAGTTGAACGTTGATGCATCGGTTGTGCATGGTGTGTGTCTTCCTCCTCGGTGGGAATGCTCGTTCATGATAATAGGTTGGCCTTTATTAGAAAATTATACAGTTTGGAGGGGCTGTTTTTGTCTTTGAAGCGGAAGTGATTGGTGTAAATGAAGCTCTCTCTTGGATTCTTTTGCTACAACTCCAAGAAGTAACTACTGAGATCGACTCTTTTCTGACAGTTAGTGCACTCTAAGAGACATACTACAATCATATGGAAGTTGGGAACCGTATTGAAAGCTGTCGCTTGAAGCTCCAAGACCGAGATGATATATATCTGGTAAGTATTTTTGAAAACGTGCAAACAAGGCTGCCCATTTGATGGCTAGAATCCTTTGTTTGGTTAATTGCTACAATGTTATTCTGTGTCATTCTTCTTCATATGTTGGAGACCTTGATGTATGACTCATGTTCTTCTTAATAAGTTTCCGTTTCTTAAAAAGAAAGAAGCAAAACTGTCAAGAATATTACCCTACATTTCTGTTTGAATTTTTAGTATATTTCAGTTATCTTCTTGCAATATTAAAGGTCGTTTACCAAATGCTTATTCATTTATCTTACTTGATGAAAATGATAAAGATCGAGAATATTACCCTGTAAGAACAATAATAAGGACTAAGAGTCATACTTGATAAGTAAAATATAGCGATTTTTACCCGATAAACGTTTACTGGAAAAATCGTCACGTACGAATAGTGTTAAAAAATTTACCACGAAAACGTTGTTATTTGCATTAATGGGCCGCTGTGTTTTAATGATTGAAAGCCCAATTTACAAGCTTCGAGTTCGAGGTGCGAAATGTTCCGGTCGGAGAAGCTTAGAAACCCTAATTTGTATTACGAGTCCCTCTGCAAGTTTTAGCTGTTGCGTTGAATTCATGTTCATTGCTTGTCATTTGTTTCCAATCACCATGAACAGACCAGAAACATCAATTTTATTTGATCGATCGAATGGAATTTTAAAGTCTGCTTCGCTTTTTTGTATTTTGTTCGATTTAAAGTCGGGTTGTTTATATACTTGTTTACTTTGATTGATTTATTTATGAATTGAGCTTGTAGTTTATGTTTAATTTCAATGGTGAAATGCCTGTCGGAGGTTTTGTTCATGTATAAGCAAATTCTATGTTTGGTTTTTGTGATGCAAGAATTCTGAATCTTTCCATTTCTTCCAAAGTATGATGCAAAATTCTTCCCATTCTCCCTCTCTTTTTAGTTTAAACCAAACCCACCTCAATTCATTGATTTCACTCATCAAATCCACCACCCAAACAACCCAATTGCTTCAAATCCATGCATACCTCCTTCGCACATCCCTTCTTCAACAATCCAACTTCTCTGTCCCTTTTCTACAACGTATAACCCTGCCACCCTTTCAAATTTTGAACTATTCCCTCCAAATATTCTCTCAAATTTTAAGACCCAATGTTACGCACTATAACACCATGATCAGAGCTTATGCAATGAGTATTCATCCGGAAAGAGGGTTTTATGTGTACCGCGATATGATGCGTCAAGGTATTCGTCCCAATCCTCAATCATCTTCTTTTGTTACCAAATCTTGTATAAGGGGTTCTTCCTTATTTGGAGGGTTACAGATTCATGCTAGGATTTTGAGAGATGGGCATCATTCTGATAGTCTTTTGCTCACTACCTTGATGGACTTTTATTCGTGTAGTGGCAAGTGTGACAACGCATGCAAGGTGTTCGAAGAAATGCCTTTACGAGATACTGTTGCTTGGAATGTTTTGGTTTCATGTTATACCCGTAACAACAGGACCCTTGATGCATTAGGCGTGTTTGATTCGATGCAAAGCGGTGAACATGGGTGTGATCCAGATGATGTTACCTGCTTGCTACTACTTCAGGCTTGCTCTAACCTGTGTGCACTTGAATTTGGTGAGCGTATTCATGAATATATTAAAGATCATGGTTACCATCATGCTCTCAATCTTTGCAATTCTCTTGTAGCAATGTATTCCAAGTGTGGACAATTGGACAAGGCCTATGAAGTATTTCAGGAAATCCCTAACAAGGATGTTGTTTCTTGGACGGCTATGATTTCTGGTTTTGCAAGTAATGGAAGGGGACGAGAAGCAATCAGCGTTTTTAGGGAGATGGAGAGGACGGGTATCCCACCGGATGAGCAAACATTCACAGCATTGCTATCCGGTTGCAGCCATTCTGGCCTGCTTGATGAAGGAAGGTTGATTTTTGATCGTATGCAAAGAGAGTTTGGTGTTGTGCCTAATATCCATCACTATGGCTGTGTTGTTGATCTCATGGGTCGTCTCGGCTTGGTTGAAGATGCCTACGAGCTTATTATGTCCATGAGATGTAAGCCAGATGCAACAATATGGAGAACTTTACTTGGAGCTTGCAAAGTACGTGGTCATGTTGAACTTGGAGAACGAGTGATTGAGCATTTGATCGAGCTCAAGGCTCAAGAAGCAGGCGACTACATCCTACTTTTGAATATTTACTCGTCCGCTGGCAATTGGGAGAAAGTAATAGAAACGAGGAAACTAATGAAAGAGAAAGGGATTCAAACAACTCCAAGTGCTAGCACGATCGAACTGAAAGGGGAAGTACACAAGTTTAGAGTTGATGATACTTCTCATTCGCGAATTAATGAAGTTTATGAGATGATGGATGACATCGAGAAGCAATTAAAGATTGGTGGTTATGTTGCTGAAATAACCAAAGAAAACGAAGGCAGCTTATCTTACTCTTACCATAGTGAGAAACTGGCCTTGGCTTTTGGGGTTCTTGCAAGTCCTCCAGGGACAAAACTAAGAGTGGCAAAGGACCTGCGAATATGCATCGATTGTCATAATTTTGCAAAGATGCTTTCCGGGGTTTATAATAGAGAGGTGATTATAAGAGATCGTACACGCTTTCATCATTTTAGGGAAGGTCGATGTTCATGTAATGATTTTTGGTAGACTTGTTCTTGTTTCATGTATTATGCTATATTATATAAAAGTTGCTGTAAATTGCAATACAAGAATGTCGTCTTGATGATCATTTCCAAATCTGATCAAAGTATTGAAAGCATCTCGAAATAGGGTTTTGTTGGGTGAATTTGTTCTTCGTTTTCCATGGAGCATTGCAGTTGCTTCCATTTATGTCTTGTGAGAACGAAACCAATCTTGGATGTCATCATCAATCGTCGAATCTAGAAACCAACTGCAGAACTACCAGTTGGTTACATCTTGAGCTTTGTTTGAAAATTGAAAATCCATAACATATACAAATTTAGAGAACAAGTATTATAGAGACAAGGACCCAACCAAACAGGCCTATTAGCTCAGTTGGTTAGAGCGTCGTGCTAATAACGCGAAGGTCGCAGGTTCGAGACCTGCATGGGCCATCACTTTTTTTTCCATTCCACAATTTTCAATTTCTATATAGACATAATAGGCCTAATTGTTTGCTTCCTTGTATCTTTAATACTTGTTCTCTAATTTGTATATGTATGGATTTTCAACTTTCCAACAAAGCTCAAGATGTAACCAACTGGTAGTTCTGCAGTTGGTTTCTAGATTCGATGATATGACAAGATAGCCTAAAATTTGTTTGAAGATGATGTTGCAACTCTTTATAAAGCACTAGTTGTGTACCCGCACAATGCGGTAGATGTAAAAAAGGTATGACAGCCCTTCAATTGGTGGTGCAAAATCCAATATGTGGATCTGTAAGATGTTTTCTAGCATCATTGTAATGAAAATATTTTCATATTATGGCAATATTAACAATTAACTTAAGATACATTTAGTCACGGATGAAGTATAAACCATAAATGATTAACACTGCCTAAAAGCAGATGAAATACGAACCATAAATTCCTTGTATTTGATCTTAGTCTTGAGCTTGCTTCTTATAATCCGTTTCTAGAAGAAAAATGCAAAAGATAACTTTCAGTCTCTTAATATCAAATATCCAACTATGCATAAAAGATAAAAACAATAAAGAACACATAAAATCAATATTTTCAACAAAATTCGAAAACATGTCGAGAACTTGAAAATTAAAGCCGCAAAATGGATGAAAGTCTAAGGGGTCGTATACCAAAAGCTTGCCCGGGTAAAAGCTTATCCGTGTAAACGCTTACCAAGTCACATTACTTTACTGGATGAAACCGATAAGTGAGAAGACACTCATTTATAAATGAAGATCATCAACCATCAACTTTTTTGTTTCAATCATACATCATGACAAATATGGATTACAAACATGATAAATAGATATAATATAATAAACAATAATCAGATCCACAACCACATCTAATATGATGAATGATAAAGAGATATGCAAAACACAACATGATTAAACAAAAAACATATCCAAATTTTTTTAAGAAGCATAGTTAAAACCAAATCAATTGCAAAACACAAGTAACATTGAGGCAACAACCGATGTTTAGCAGCTCAATTCGAAACAAACCAAAAATTGTGTGTTCCAACATGAGAGAGTAGATGAAAATGCAAGATGGATGGGTTTTACCTTCGAATGGATTACGTGCATTGAGTAATGACTCTGTCTAATCCAACCATTTATATCAAGAAAAACAAAATATGGGAGAGGAGAAGGATTATAAACCTTACAAACGAAAGAAACCCACAAACAAAAAACAAAATATGGGAGAGGAGAAAGAGAAGGAGAAGGAGGAGGAGAAGGATTATAAACCTTATAAATGAAAGAAACCCACATGGAGTTATGCCACCACCAACCACCACCACTCCCTTACTCTTCTCTGGTTTCGACAATCGAAACCCACAAACGATAGAAACCCACAAACAAAGAAAAAAAATTAGGGTTTTAGAAAGGAAGAAAGAAACCCACAAACAAAGAAAAAATTAGGGTTTAAGAAGGAAGAAAGAAACCCACACACGAAATGACTTCAATTTGAAGTCCTTCGGCTGAGAGCTTGAATCGACGTCCCGGGCAAAGGGACCTTTTACCAAACACTTACGAGATAAGTGCTTTGCTAATGAGCATGCAAGAAGCAAGAATTGATTGGTTAGTGTTCATTTACCAGATAAGAGACACTAACCAACAATTCAATTTGAAAGCCAAAAAATGTTAAACAACAGAGTAGGTAAGATAATAACATATGTCAATAAGTTGACTCGGACACCTGAACTGAATCATAAATCCATGTTAAAAAAACAACACAACTTTCTTTGTATGTCCAATTCAATTGATGTGGTAAAAGATACAAATCAAATCACAAATATTTCCTTATAATAAGACAACAATTGCCATGCTTCCATTAACTCAAACTCTATAAAAGACAGAAACAAACAACTAAAGCTTTTTCCTTCTTCTTCTTCATTCAAATGGTCAGTTTGCAGGCTTTTAAGGGATTCCTAAACTCATCGTAGTTTTATTTCTTGAAGGTAACCTTTGTTCGTCTTTTCTTGTTCCCTAATAAATGAAAAAATTTACACCCCATCACCAAGATTGTGAAATAAAAATATAAATTTTAGCACTTATTAAAAGATCGCCTTGCCTAATCTGAGATTCTATCATCTTTCTTAGAGGATTTGTGCTTTTAAGCTCTATTAAATAATTGGAAGTTTTGAAAATCACCGTTCTTATTACCAGTTTTAATAGATGAATTTCGCTGTTTTAACACCCTGAAAGTCAGTCCCAAGATCCCAGCTGAAAAATATTTGGTTCGATTACACCAAGAGCCAGATACGTTGGATAATTCTGTTTGAGGTGTCGCATTCTGAATACTAGAACAATAATGAATCTTTAGTATTATACAAAGACAAACAAATAAACGAAAACTTTTCAAATTGTTAAAGACATCTGTTGAACTGCTTTCTTGGGGTGAGTGTCTACATACAAGCAATGAACCATGAGGTCTAATAAAAATTTTAAGCAGCAAATTCAGGGACAAAGATATAAATTTGCATCTCGTACTTTGAAAACAAATCACCAGTAGAAGTTTTATTCAGTCATACCAAACCTAAGCTTTATAAATGTCTTTGGGTGTGTATATTTTTCTCGCATTCAGGATTACTTAACGCACAAACTTGATTATTTGATCCACAAAATGTGTATTATTTAGATACAGTTCTCATCATAAAGGCTATGAATGGAAGAGGGATTTAGAATTTGAATCAAGAATCTATCGGGAGTTTGAATCGTTCGTCTTGGAATATGGATTTATGAAGCTTTGCCTTGGGGAACGTATGATAGGAGCAGCCTTTTAGGGGGAAAAACTTTGGTTTAACAAGTTGTACATCAAGCTTGTAAGGTTGTTTTTAAGACTTTTAAGACTTTGTGCATAAATCTACATTACTTTGTGCATTAAAAATTGTTTTTAAATTTTTTCTCAAATTTGCTTTATAAGGTAGTATAGATAACCAGAATCATAACAGCATGACATGACATCTATAAAAATATATAAAAGTGGAATCATAATAGGATGACATGGCAACCTAAAAAATTGTTTCAAGATGATGTGGTAGCTCATAATTGTTTCTCTTGATAACCCCAATCTATTCAATGTGCGTTATTCCTTTGGAGTTAGGGTTTGTAGAATTTCAATCGATGACACATGCTCTAATTCATCATGCACACAATTTGGGACAACTGCACCTAGCCCCTCTGATCAGAAAACAAGGAACCATCCCAATCAGTGCCTCCGACGTCATACATTGATGTTTCCTAATGTTGGCTCTGGTATGCCGCCCTTATCAGTTTTTGCCATTTATTTGGACTTGAACAAAATGTTGCCATTATACGTTCCATTAAAGTTGTGAAATGATGTATAGATACAAAAGTTATGATTCTGCTTTATATATTTATGTAAATTCAAATTTCAAGTACAAGAACTTGTTTGCAGATCCAACTTTTGTGATGAAATCTATGCCATTTGTTCTGTCGAATGTATGTAGCATTCTCAATCGGATGAATCATGGATCTGCAGTGAGATCAGAATAAGTTTTTCCTTAATGTTACTCTGTTGTTCATTTGTTATATTTACAAGTCTTTTCATTATATATATGTGAATTGTGTGAAGAATGATATTAGGTTTAGGGATAGATTAATGTCATAATTTTCTCAATGTTTACAATGTTTGCATTAAATTCAAAACAATTTTGATGGTTTATGAGGATGGTGTTACCATGAAGTCTCAAACGATTTTGATGGTTTATATAAAACGTTTGTATTTATCTCCCCTATTTACTAATATGCATCTTTTATATTCATGCATTATGTTTAATTTGTGTTTGTAATCACAAATTAATATATTACTAAAAGGGTGTTCATATTGCATTTTCGTTAATTGCTAATTAAGATCCAAACTTTTAACTTCTTTTAGGATGATTTTGGAAGTTATCTTAATTATCAATTTGTTGGAACAAGAGTATGATATTGGTGATGAATGAACTTTGTGTCAGTAGTCTGTATCTTGTTGAATTTGTTACTGGTGGAGCTCATGCTACCAATGAGCGAGTGAGGAAAGGGGTAAGTTTCTCTAGTTACTCCCTGAAGACGTACCCAAAGTTGTTTATCGCCTTACTTTTTCTTGGTTGGTCGTTTGATATGGATTTGTTGTCGTGCTTGATTTCAGCTTACACTCGTGCATATGATACTTCTTGCTGTCCAGAAGGAGCTGATATACATTTCAATTTCTATGTCAATCATATTACTTTAGAAATAATAGATATTGAATTTGTTACCAACCTACATCAGCTTATTCTATAAACCGGTATTTGAGCTTAATGTTGTTATCAAAAGTCAATTTTGAAGTTTAAAAATGCCCACATTTTATAACCTACATCAACTTTGAAGTTTATAAATGCCCACATTTCAAATAATAGATATTGAATTTGTTCATTGCTAATGACACCTAGACATAATGATGATGGAATGGCTATTTGTCTGCTATCAAAAAATTATGGTGCTGATATTGCTTCAAATTTATCCCCTTAAACCGGTTATGCACTAGAGTTCTTATGCTGTTTCATGGTTATGAGGTGA